GCCCTGCCTGTAATGCATGGATAGCTCAGTGGCTGGTTGGGTTATATGATCACTGCCAGAAAATAAACTAAGCAATGCACTGCTGACTTAGTTTAGTGATGAGAGCTTCCTGCTCTCACGGAGTAGTAGTGGTGGCAGAGAGTGGTGCCTAGCTTACTGAAGTGCTTTATGTGTAAAGAGTATGGGCTGCTCCCTTTCCCCCCAGCAAAGTAAACCTTGTTACACCTGCACTGCAGTCAGACAGCCAGTCCTGTTATTTGGCAGGGGAGTCAAAAATGCACTTGCCCAGAGATCCTGCTTTTAAGAGACTTGTAAAACTCCATTGAAGTCTAATAGGGCAGCCACAGAAATACTTCACTGGGGGATAAGGGGAAGGCTTGAAGTTGCTGCAGATGCTAGATCTGCACCTATTGTAAGCCAAACTTTTCTACATGTCCAAAGAAAACATGCAAACCAAATAATATGCATATTTACTTTGGTGGTATAGCAACCAGTTTTTTTTTTTTTAATGTGGTGTTCCTTTAATGTTACTTAAAAAGGTTAAGCACCATAACCACTTCAGCATTCTCAAGTGTTTTTAGCGTTTCTGCTAAAAACACTACCAGAATCAAGATATATAGCTTTTATTGGAATGATGTAACTCCACTTCCTGTTCAGCGGTTTATATACTGGCTATATTAAAAAGACACTATAGTCACCAAAACAACTACAGCTTATTGTATTTGTTCTGGTAAGTAGATTCATTTCCTTCAGGCTTTTTGCAGTCTTTTCAGAGAAAATGCAGTGTTTACATTACAGCCTGGTGATAACTTCACTGGCCACTCCTCAGATGGCTACTAGAGGTGCTTCCTGGGGCAGTGCTGCACAATGTGCAGTACTGCCTTTCAGCATCTCCACCCTCTGCATGCAGACACTGAACTTTCCTCATAGAGATGCAGTGATTCAATTAATCTCTGAGGAGATGCTGATTGGCCAGGGCTGTGTTTGACTTGCGCTGGCTCTGCCTCTTTAACCGTCTTAGCCAATCCTATGTGGAAGCATTGTGATTGGCTCAGGCAACCACTTCTAATTAAGTCAGCAGACAGAGGCAGCAGCTGCAGACTTCAATAGAAGTAAGAAGTTACGATATTTAGGGAGGCATGGGAGGGAGGGGGGCTAGATGGTAGTTTAACACAATAGGGTCAGGAATACATGTTTGTGTTCCTGACCCTCTAGTGTTCCTTTAATTGTATCTACATTGTGTATGTAGCGTCAACATGCCTCATACACAGCTTGGGCTGAGCTCTCTCTCCCCTAAAGAGAGCGCGGAGACTTGTGGATTGCACAAAGCTTAACATAGCATTGTTCACAAAGATAGCAGCTGTGGTATGGCTGCTGTCAGTTTAATGAGCACTTCCACTCATGCTAAGTGATTAACTACTCTTTTATTTTTATTGGATGGGTCTATTCCATTGTACAGTGCACCAAGAAAAACAATAAAAATACAGGCTTCTTGTTTTTATTTATTCTAAACCAAACTGTATTATACTAAATATAATTTTAAAAGAAAAGCGCTTAACACAAGTTATAGGTGATGTTCAATATTTCACAGTGTAAATTTCTGAGAAATTAAAGTTTCCATTTTAAATCATTCCTTGTAGATGTCTATTTTCAGATGCAAATTTCTGATATTTATTAAAACACTAGCCACTTTTGCATGCATGAACTCACGAATTCTGTATAAAACACGACCTGCACAACGTGCAAAAAAATAAATAAAAAACATGTACAGAGTAACTGGCAGTGTGCAAAATCAGATTCCTAGTCCCAGGGTTTAAATTCCTTGGTCTGTATATGGTTGGTGGGGGTTGCACTGCTGGGCAATAGCTGCTATCTGCATAAAAGTTGTCATTAATTCAGCTTCCCTCCAGTTAAAGGAAAACTCAGAGCACCAGAAATATTGAAATAGTAACAGAAAATGGGCTAAATTAAATCAGCACTGTCACCCATAAAAAAAATAAAATCATAAAGATAAAATCTTTGAAATTCTCACATTGACGGTTGGCATTTCACGATAATTCCAACCCAGTCAAAAGATATACTGACAACAACTAGGGACTACTTTGTCTCAGTATTTTTCCTCAGCTTGACAAGAGACAGAACTACCTTTTAATAAGCTTGTCATTTCCCCCAGCCATCACCAGTGATGGCTACAGAGAAGATAGGGGCAGGTTGTGCAGGGGGGGGGGATGCTCTTTCTATGAAGGATTCCAGTCTTGTGTGATCCTCCATAGATCTTAAAGGTCTTGTTTTCCTGGCACTAATGGGTTTTTAGGTGTGTGTCCCACCCTCAGGGTCCCACTCCCGCTGGGCTCAAGGGGGATGAAGGGGTTAAACACTTACCTTTCTCCAGGTCAGGGCTAACTTACCGCTGGGGAACTCTCCTCCTCCTCCCGACGTCAGCGCTGAAAGCCGCGCACATTCAAACAGTCCATAGGAAAGCATTTCTCAAAGTTTTCTATGGACGTCCAGCGTCTTCTCACTGTGATTTTCACAGTGAGAAGCGCCTCTAGTGGCTGTCAGTGAGAGCCACTAGAGGCTGGATTAACCCTAGTGTAAACATAGTTTCTCTGAAACTGCTATGTTTACAGCTGCAGGGTTAAAACCTGGGGGACCTGGCACCCAGACAACTTAATTGAGCTTAAGTGGTCTGGGTGCCTTTAGTGGTCCTTAAATGCTGTACCGGTTCAGACAAGTATAACCTAACTCCCCCTGCCTTCCCCATAGCCATCGCCTATAAACACCCCTGTAAGCAATGTTACAGTCAAGTGGTCTTTGCAAGTTAAGCAAGAGACCCCGGGTGGAGACACAGTCGCTTTAAGGATCTCAGCCTTAAACTATACAGGAGTAATCACCCATCTATCTGAGCCAGCCAGGACATGTAAATCAAATGCTGCTCTAAGATTTAAGAAACTCCAGACCTAACCCTGTAGCAGGTTTGGCCCCAATTTTTATTAATACATACAATGTTCTGTTTTCTGATAACTTTATTAAAGATTTAGAAAGGGCCATCAAAATCCACTTGTGGTTTCCCCATCTTCCACCAAGTATACTCAACAGCAGAAAAAGGCATTTGTAAGGATGACTGACAGGGAGCCAAGATGGTAGCTTTCAGTACCAGGATAGAGCCAAGTACAGTGATGTAGATATATCTGCATTTAAACATTCAAATTTAAACTCTGACAAAACACAGATTTCCCACATATAGAAGATAAATAAACATAATATATCTCCTGGGAAGGGATAATACCCCTTTAACACGATGCCAATGACAAAGGTTTAAGAAGTCAAAAAATATTGAGATAACTTTAGCTATGCATCTGCAATTACATTGGCTGGTAAAATGTAAAAAATAAAATAAAAAAAATTTACTGCTGTGCACCCAAGAAGCAGAAAAATTATGTCTCCTAAAGTGCCAGGTCCCCCAGGTTTTAACCCTTCAGATGTAAACAGAGCAGTTTCAGAGAAACTGCTATGTTTACATTGGGGGGTTAAGCCAACCTCTAGTGGTTGTCTTCTTGACGCTGGGTAAAGGTAAGTGGCTGAAGGGGTTTTAACCCCTTCATCATCAAGGGAAGAGGACCCTGAGGGTGGGGGTCCTAAGGATGACACTATAGTGATCCTTTAAGAGAAAAGATAGGGGAGGTTCATGGCACACTTAGTTTGTATGATTTGGTTTGATCACTGTGCAACAAAACCCTGGAGGGGTGTAGTTATATTAACCCGTTAAAAGTTAGGGAGAAAAAAAAAAAAAAAAGTTTCAAGGCAGATATAATGTACATTAGGTGAAGTTTTCAGTCTACAGCTCTGTTAAATCTCAGTACAACTTCTCAAATGTTCTCTGTGCTTTCTTTTTACCATTGTTGTTAAATTCCCCCTAATTAAAAACAAAATAGCAACAGCCAGTCTTTCCACTGAAAAGTGCACATATACGTTTATATTGTAATATGTATTTATGTACCTTTAAATTTTAAAAGGAGAAAAAAAAAAAAAAAAAAACAACCAAACTTAACTTTATATAATTGTCTTTTTCTAAATGTGCTGCACAATTAAGAGTTGGACTTCATTTTAAAATCCAGGGTTTATGGAGTACTGTTCAAGAGTTATATCCTACATGAAATTGAATAAATTATACCATTTAGCAAGCCATTGCAGTGTGGCCTCGAATGGCCATTAACCTCATTCATGTTATTTCATTAATAAAGCTGTGCTTGGACATATATCCGTGGCTGTATGCAAATAAAGTCATACAGTTACTGGGGACTGAGATCATGTACTATGGCAACCCAAGATGTTGGTTGGCATGAAGTGGCAAAGATTTTTGTAAATCAGTGCAGTTGTAATGAATTGGAGGAGAAAAAACAGGAAGCTCTCAGAGGGTTGTTTACTAAAAGGGAGAATGGTCATGAATTCAAAGTGAACTTCCAATTTAAAACAACATTTGGAGAACGTAGTCAATTCAGTTTATATAGTCTCAAACTCGAAATATTTTTTTTTTTTTTTTATTTCTCGACAGTTCTCACATTAGTAAACAATGCAGTTAAAAACCTATTCGCGATAAAAAGTTAAGCAAATCCCTGTATCACAAGCTATTGCTGGTAAATCACGATAGAGTTAATGTAGTTTTGCCTGGTATTTAAGGATTTTAGTCAGTGGATACTCTGAGGGGAAATTAAAAGCAACAGAAAAATAAAGAATAGCTTCAAAAAAACAAAACGAAAATAAATATTTTATTTCCACACAAGTGTAAAAAAGTCAACATTTGATTTGCTAATTGACCATTTCACCTTTGATTGTAAAAAGAAAAATGCAAAGCACCGCCCAGTCCTCCCCCTACCTGTTGTTTAAACATAAAAGATCACTTTTAAAAGAAAGTAACAAACCACAAACTCCAGCATTCAGTCGTAGAACGAAAACAACATGAACACTCACTGCTCATGGGTGACCCACATTCAGCCTTACCTGGAAGTGAGGTCTGACAGCCATTTTAGGAGCAAGAAACCAGGTGGAGTGCAACAAAAATCCAGTTTCGCTCCCAGAGCACCTCCTTGTCCTATTGTAGCTGTTTGCAGAGGTGATCACCTGTGTACAGACAGGAGGCAGGACTTAGGGCAGATCATGAACCAGCATAGGGTGTGGACTCCTGCTGTGACCCTATCCAGGAATAACGTGCCTCCTACAAACAGGAACTCTCTCCCAGCTTGGGGAGGGAAGGCAGCCCCGGCTGCTGTGTAGAAGAGCTGACACCCACCTGCCCTGCCCAGCCCAGCTCAGCAGGTCTGACGTGCTCACCTCGCTGTTCTGTGTAATATGATCTGAGTCAGACCCAAAGAATTGCATTCACACAGGCTCAAACCCAAGGGAGACTGTGGGAAGCCAGGCAATGAAATGCAGGCTGACGGGAGGAGGGGGGAGTTTTGTTTGAAGGCAGAAATATTACAGAAAAAAAAAAAAAACAGCATGTGATGGAATAACAGCAACAAATGTTACCCTGGCATTCCATCTCCCCCTCCCCAGGAGACACCGAGTACTCATTTATAGGGTCAACCCGGCAGTCACACCTCAGTGTGCCTTCCTAACTAGTCATTTAATGCACATCCGCCCACAGAGCGCGATGAAACACACCACCAATATTATGGTGCATGAATTAGGCATATGTAAACATCATTAGAGATTAAAACATCTGTCCTTCCTTGTTAGGCAGCTGAATTATGAGCTAAATGGATTTCAGCAGTGTGTGCATAAATAATCATAGCTTGTATATAGGTTCATATATGTCATTCTATTTTTAAAAATGCCAATAAAAAAGTTGCCTTTAAAAAAAAAGATGAGGTATTAGATCCATTAGACTGGTGTAAAAATGTGGCGGCTGTAGGTTTACTGGGAATTCTACTAACTTAAAGTCCCCCTTAACAACAAAGTCCTGAACCATAAACATCCCCTAATCGTAATAGGGTTATTGACTAGAGTGGAAATTCAAACTAAATCTCAAATTTAAGGTTAAAATAGCCAAACTGGACAAATTCTCTAAATCAGCTATGCCTCCAGGTTTGCTTATTTGGTCTTAGGGTTACTCTAACTCAATGGTCTTCAACTGGTGGTCCACGGACCGGCACCGGTCCTCAAGAATTTATTGCTGGTCCGTGAAAGCTTTCACCTGACTATACCGCTACAGTGTAGAGGTATAGTCGGATGAAAGCTTACGCGGACCAGCAATAAATTGCAGCGAGATATTTCACCGGTGCTATGATCATATAATAATATCATAGGGAACTGTGCCTCCCTCTCCCCTACCAGCACTGCAGGACCGAAGGGGAGATCAGAGATCTCCCTCACTAGCACGCTAGCAGAGTAATGCTGGCAGCCGGCAGGGGAGGGAGAGAGTACCTGGGGCAGCTCTGACCTGCAGTTCCGCCGGGATCTCATCTCGCGAGCTCAGAGCGTTGCTGTGGTTACCACGGCAAAGCTCAGAATCTCGCAAGAGTGAACTTTAGCAGCTCCTGAGGCTGCTAGAGTTCACTCTCACCACTTGGACCACCAGGGCTTCTCCACCGGACCACCAGGGTTTAGTACTGTCCCCTCTCCCAGGGCAACGGTAAGAAGGGAGAAGGTATATGAAAATAATTATAAATTTTTTTTTTTAAATTGTATTTATTAATCTACCCTCCAACCCCACAGACATCCATTGTTTTTTATTTCTGGCTGACGCCGGTCCGCGAGATATTTCTCCTCTTTTCACCGGGACGCGGGTGTTAAAAGATTGCAGAACACTGCTCTAACTCCTTTCATAAATGTATTCACTAGGCATTTTTCACTAGGTCCCCTCAACTTATAAAACTGCAAACAATGAATAAACTTACATGGAATCAAGCACCAGGCAAAGTTCCACTTGCTGGATTGCATGCTTCTGTTCAATGTCACTGCTGTTGTTTCGTGGTCGAATCAAATGCTTCTCATGGAGAAGCACTTAATTGGACCATTCTACCGACTCTGAATTCATGTGCAAACTCTAAGCTGGCTACAGGAGGAAGCAGATGTGGTCACGATGCCCTGAGTAACCCTTTAAATTTTAAATTCGCATTGAATTCTCCCTTTAGTTATTAACCCTCTAAGCCTTACTACTCTACTCAAACACTTAACCAGCTATTTCTTAAAGGCAATAATAAAACTAAGTCCCTCAAACCTTACATTAGTGATATCCCTTTGAATCGTGTATGTATATTTTTTGGAGCAGGTTAATGATACTGTCGTTATACAAGACCAAAGTGTCATTACAGCATTGTCCTATTTCTTAGGGACATTTAGAATGTGCCTTTAAACATGTTTTAAATGTTGACACATGTTTATAACACAAAGCAAAAATGTCACAAATCTTTTCTGACAGTAAAGAAGCTGAAGTTAGATATAAATATCCAGTCAAAACCAGGTTTAACTTCACCCATTCTGATTAATCATATGATTTCAACATCTATACTCTGAGAACATGAGGTTAAAAGGACACTATAGGCACCAGAACACTTTAGCTCATTGAAGTGGTCTGGGTGCTTTGTCCCAGTCCCCTTAGCCATTGATATTGATAAACTGCAATAATTACCTTGCAGGGTTAACTCCTCCTCATGTTTGTCATTAACCCATTGTTCCAAATTGATATTAATCTGGATATATGTTTCTTAAAGAATATTCAAATTGGACATTTTGGGTATAGTATACATAAGGGTTTGCTTAATCATTATATGTTATATAGTTGTTACATTGCTTATTTGTACTTTTAATTATTAATGAGGAGTTGTTAGTATAAGTTTGGTGTTGTTTACTTCACATGTCGTCAGCTCAAGGAAGGTAGTTGTGGTGTAAAGCCATAAGTAATTTGAGTATTGTGTGTTTTCGGTTGCTCACGGATGTATCAGTCACTGTGTGCCCTGTTTAGGTTCACAATTGATCCCAGCAGTCAAAATCTGTCTGATTTAGGTTTTGCGTCCCTCTCGTGATACTTTATTGCTATTTTAAAACTGTGTCATTCCTTTGTGCATGTGCATCAATTAAAGCTTTTATCAGTTCTCCATGTTGTTTCAAATTAGATGTTCCATCTGTATGGTACTGACGCCACATCCTCTCAAGATATGAGTGTAAGAATTTGGAGTCTTATCAACTCAAGTAAGAATTCAAAGTTTATTTCAAAATTGAGACCAGAGTAGCTGAACGGAAAGCATAGCTGCCACTGAGCCATGCAGAAGCAGGGGATGTGGAGTTGGGTGCTCTAGGTATTTTGTCAAATTGTTCTCAAATGGTTTGACTATTTGTTACAGGAGGGCACCACAGTAAGTAGTGGTTATGGTGGTAGGAGTGCACCTTTAAAGTTCCATCTATGCTCTTGCAAGTTCAGATTGTTCATTTGGTTTGCAAATTAAATGTAGTTCAAGTCTCAGGCGCAACAATTTCATTTCTGACAGTTTAGTTATACCTTACATACCATAGTTATAGCTGGAAATAAATGAATATTATTATTCTAAAGATCTGAATTATTGGGGAGTGATGGGAAATAGTAATGTGATGCTTGTGTGAGTTTAGCCTTAGAGAACTGATTATTACCTTAGTATACACTTAGAGAACCTAATAGTTCTAAGCTGAATGTTTGTACATTTTTTGAGAAAATGAAATATTATTTACATCCTATTATGACTGTTATGTCTTTCAAGGTTCCACTGTACACTTTATTTATTTGTGTTGACTGAGACAGTTAATTCGTCGTGGCCCACCTCTGTCCTCAGTCAATTTGTCAATTTGCAGACAATACATTTTTCATAAGGGGGATTTGTTCATTTTAAGTTATAAGTAGGTCAGCAAATACTGTATGTGTCTATATTAGTTCCAACTTTTTGCAAAGGGTTAGCATTCACTTTTATGACTGTTTCTTTACAATTCAGCATCACCCTGAGACCTAACCAATAAATCTGCCATTTGCGGTTAGTACTCTAAGCTGATAGATCATGTGAAAAAGTCATTGAACTGCTATGTTTTGTAACATTGCTGTTTTACAGTTACTGTGAAAGTTAAAGGAGGGGGGTGAAGTCTCTCAACTTTGTCTCTGCAAAAATCTGTTTTTAGTTTTGCTGAAAGTGTTACTGTGTTTGTACTGGATAGTAGACGCTCAGCTGGCGTAAAAATAAATACATCAACTGCCATTGGCTGTACTAACTGTGATTTTCCTTCAAATACTTTTATCCTTTTTTTTTTTTTTTTTGAGGATTTTAACATTAGAATCATTTTCTGTGAGGAAAATATGCAACTTTTTTTCTTGGTATCGGAAAAATAGAAACAAAACGTACAGTTCTCAAGTTTAATAACTAGCATTTTCTGAAAGGAACACTATATTCCCCAGAAAGACTACCGCTTAATGTCACAAACTGTTCTTATTTGGCTAATTAAAGCAAATATAATACAAATAATCACTGTTATCCTAATAGAACTCGATAAAACATTGCATATGCACTTCCAATATACTCAGCATGTTTGCTTCTACATACTTAAAGATACACTCAACGATATCAGTGTTGATCAGGTTAATGCCACACATGATTTAATATTACTACTAGTGTTATGTATTCAGAAATCCCACAAAAAACAGCATTTTTGTTTGTTATTAGCCTTAGTACCTTAGAACATAGATATTAAGATCACATGATTAGAATTGATGACAGAAGTTAGGCCAAGTTTTAAGTTGATAACTATGTCTAAGTGAAGTCTAGTAAAAAATCTATACTAAAATGGAATGGAATGGAATGCCTGTGTTTAGTTCCAGGAAGCAATGAGCAAGTTTTTGAGAATACAAATATTTGAGACTGCTTGTGTTTCAAATGGACCAAAAGGTTGACTGCTGTTTGAAGTGCAACTATTTAGCTTCCTTTATGGAGGCATTCAGGTTGTACAAAAGAAGTCTGGACCTTGTATGATTCCATTAAAGGAACCCTTAAAGTAGCAGGAGTGCCCTGGTGGCCTCCCAGGGTAAATCCCAAGGTAAACAGTAGTTTGAGAACAGTTTGATAACTTATCTGGGATCTGCCGGGCACCTGCAGCCACATCCTCTCTAGTCAGAAGCTCCTTGCACTGAGCTGGTGGTCTGGTGGTGCAGCGAGGCGCTTGTTGTCTAAAAGTACTCAGCTGACAATTGCAGCCAATGGGTCGGCAAATGGTAGACAAAAGTCTACTGAAGGGTGGGAACAACATACATCTTCTAGTAAGGTGGAATTAATAATTTAGCTGTGTTCAAAAGATTCGTTAATTGAAATTGGAGAAAAGTGAAAAAGCATAAATGGGACATTAAAATCTGTAGTGTAAAGTATCTTATCATGTATCGCCCTCCAGAAAGAAGCAATCAGTGGGCAACTCAACCAAATGTATAGTTTGGGTCCATCACTGCAACACCAACATATTACCAACATCAATGGATGCATACTATGTAATATAGAAACAAAAAAAAGCAAAAATTCGCAAACTGAATATAATGCTGACTGGAGATAAAGACGCAGGCACCAAAGCATCTAGTGGTATGGAAC